GGGTGGGGTATGTGTGTGTGTGTGTGTGGGTGTGTGTGATAACTCTATCGAGAGACGTAACGGTATATACATGTGTATACAGGTGGTAATAGCTACATAATTACTTTGCAAGCAGTATAATAATTATATCGGATGTTTCAAATGTAAATAATCACGTTCGTGTGCAGGTTGTAATTACTACATACTTACATTACAAAGGGTATAATAACTATATAAGGAGCTTCAACAGTACAAGGTTGTGTATACAGGTTGAAATTACTATACACTTACTTTACAAGAGGTATCATTCTAATATCTTTTGTGACGTCTGCAAACTGCTTTTGTACAAATTGAAAATTGGAAATTGAGAAGTCATGATTGTATATATTCCTTCCCGTCAAAACGGGTTAAATCAACCGTTTTCGCGTTCAAGATAGACGTTATGCCTTTATTGTGAAATCGGGATTTCAACAGGGTGTAAATTTTTAAGTCAACAGTTTATCGTTTTTACGTTATTTCGTACTGAACTCAATCATTTTTGCGTGTACGTTCAACGTATACGGCATGGATGCCGAACGAATTGAACACGTAAATAGCAGGACCAGTGGCCAGTGAGTCATTGGCACAGGCTGACAGAGTGGCAGTGTGACAGCTGCAGCTGACTTTGATTTGAAGATTTGATTGATTTGATTTCACCGAATTGTGAGTACACATACTGTTACTCTATGTACTAATAATGTACGCTCGGCTCCAAACTACAAACTATGGCATTCTATAAATTCTTGAGATGACGAAGTGACGATAGTCACACGTATTAAGTTTTGGCTTTTTTATGCGTAGTTTTATTGGTACAATGAAGCAATCGCCGTAATTAAGCCAATCCATTTTAGATATTTGGGTAAATCGGTATCGATCAGGATTCAAGAGCACTCATTTGAAAATTATGATTTAAAATGAGAGTGCTACAACCAGTGATGAACATTCATTCAAATGATTCCCCTACTCTCTTTCTACTCTCTCTACTCCTAGTTGAAAGAGTAGAGACAGAGAGATCGTAGATATCATAAGATTTGACAGCCTGTGACAGGTACAGTGGTACACTAAAAAGTTAAAAGTTAAAAGTTAAAAGTAAAAACTTAATATCGCCGTAGCGGGCGCCGGGTGGGCCCGACTGAGTTCACTTTGGTCATATCCCGTCACTCACGAAGTCACGATTAGGCACGAAGAATTTTCCAATTTATATTTAGCCTTTTCCTGTTTATAGCAAAGTTTTACCTGTTTTCTCATAAAAATCTTTTGATTTAGGCAACACACGCCCAGTTCATTTGTTGAAAACTGGAAACCAGCCCCCAGAGGCCAGGACACTGGACAGCCCAGTCCGTCCTGAACTCCTGATAACCTGATTCAGTGATTCTTGAAGTCGATATTTTAGGATAATTTTTTTATTTTTATTTTTACACACGGGTGATGATACATTGATACCCGAGATAAAGGGATACTGGATAAAACTAGTACAACGACTCCGCATTCTGTAGATACCAAATAGCAGCCGACTGCTGAACAGATGAAGATACAATACACTCTGAGCAATGGGGAAGCTTAGTTGGAAGCGGGAACCAGGAAACTCGGGAACGTTTGTAGAAACTGGAGTCATCATTTGCATTTCATATCTAAATCTTCGCATATACTTGTGATTTCTCGGAAATTAAATTATGGATATCGGCATCGCGCGCATAAACAAGCCAGATAGTTGCATAGTTTCCTATATTCAACAGGAGGCTATGCCGCTATGATAGTTGTTTTATATATGTGTATCTATATTCATATCTATATCTATATCTATATCTATATCTATATATACATCTAATCATATATATCTATATCTATATCTTTTCAAAACGTACCTTTATATCTATATCCATATATGTATCTACATCCGTATCTATCTACATCCGTATCTATA